AGCCTAAAAAGACAAGAATATATTCTACACACAAGCTTGAGTACATCATTATCGAATCTCCTAGTTAACACAAATCATCAAATGAACCGGACCTAAGAAAAATTCCTCACATTGCAAAAACAAAAACTAGAAGAATCAAGGAAAAACAAAAGAAAGGGCAGGAAGAGGAAGCCAAAAAGAAAGGAAATTACCCTAGGATCAAACTGCATTCCCCAAACCTCAGAGGGGGGAGCTTCGAGGGTGGCGATGGTGGCGTTGGTGTCGACATCAAAGACGCGGACGAAGCTATCGAGAGAGGAAGAAGCAGCGATGACGCCGGAGGGGTGCGCAGCTACAGCTGCGACGCCGAGGCAGTGACCGGTGTTGGTACGCTCAAGAACCAGCTCGTCAGACCTCCACAAGCGGACAGTCTCGTCAAGGGAGCCAGTGAGCAGGAGAGCGGGTCGGTCGTCCGTGGCGGGGACCCAAGTGGCAGCCCATAAGGACTCGTCGTGTGCATTCTCTAGGGATTTCAAGCCTGCGAGCTTCATTGGTTTGGTGTAAGCTACGGCAGCAAGGAAGCAGAACCCTAGACTAGATTTGGGGTTTTTCTTGCATTGAAAAGTTGAATCCGAATGTGTACTCGTTACTCGTATACAGTAAAAGGGGTTTTGAGTTTTTTCTGAAAATTATATTTTAGTGACAGTTTTAACCTTTTAAGACGAAAAGGAAAAAGTATAATGGTAAAAATTAGATATTAAAAAAATTATTTTAAATGACACTAAATATTGTACTAATAATTTATTTTATTTTAAAAAATGTAATATAATTTAATTATTTATAAATTTTCAAAAAATGTAAAAAGTATTAGTAATAAAAATCTTGTTACAATTTTTATTTTTTAAAATATAAAAAGAATAAACTAGTAAGTACAAAAAAAATAAATAAACATAATTATGGATTGTCAACTTTGTTGAATAAGTAGCATTAATCATAAAATGATAATATTCATCAATTTGAGACTTAATATGTATAATATTTTGTAATCTAATAGATATTATTAGTGAAAACATAAGGAAGGAATTAAAGTATCTTAATATTCTCTTATTAGTTAATTCAAAAATAAATTAATTAAAAAAAATTTAATAAAATAATTCATTCACAAATTTATCATATTAAAATTTTATTACATTAAATAATTTATAAATTTTATGTCACATTTAGAACCAAAAAAAATTATGTCACATGTATGAGGTATACTCTACAAATATATTAAAAATGATATCTTGGAATGGATATAAAGTTAAACAAATTATTTTCACTAAGTATCAAAGTATTGTGTTGGATGCAAGAGATGTGAATCCGCATATCCGACAAATTTTTTGATTTATGGTATGAAACAACTCGAAACATGAACTAAATAATTTTAAGTGTCGGGATAAAATTTCACTTGAATTTATATTAAAAAAAAAAATTAAGTGCTTTTAAATTTTTTTGGTATGGAAATAATTTAGTGTCTGGATCTTGTGTGGAAATTGGAGGGCCAAGGAAGTGCTTTTCATTTTATTTTTATTAAAAATTAAAAATATTTTATAGGTTATACGAATATAGAGATATTTCAATATGAGTTTGGTGTCAAAATAATGAGTAGATCAAAAGAAGAAATTAACAATTTTTATTTTTGCTCATCAATGGGGGACCTGCACAAATATCTCCTCACTTGAGCTGTACTCCCAAATTTTTTATCAATCAATTATCCAGCCACTCATTCATCTATGCTTTTATGTACTTATATGTATATATAGATTATATCCACAGACAGAGATTTAGATCAGAAGCAAAACTTGAAATCCAAATTAACACTTTCTACAAAAGTAAAAAGAAAAAAAGGGGCTCCACCAGGTGAGCTTCAAGAAAAAAGAAAAACACACCCAAAATGGGAGCCCATCTCCATTAACACCCCCCCCCCCCCCCCCCCACTCACCCACCTATACATACATACATACATATAAGCAATTCAAAACCTGCAAACCCAACTCCAACTTGGCTCCAAGAGCTTAATCAAAATACAAACTCAGAGCCTAATCATAAACCAACATTTATCGTCCTCCATGAACGATCATCAAGATGTGAATTAAAACCACACCAGATCTCCATTATGTCTCATAATATATTTTTAACTTCTGCTGCTTCTTCTTCAATTAACTTTTGTGTTTATAGGTCTAGGGTAATGAATGTACCGTGTAGAATATCTGCTGAAATTTTAATCTGGCCTTTTGATTGGGCTGGGCCTAGGCCGAGGCAAAGGCCACCATTTTTCCCTTCTCCCTCATGGAATTCATCTTCTCCAACCTCCATTCATCCCGTAGCCGAGCAAGAAGCTGTCGGCCTTTACGTTAACATCAGGACTGGGACAAACACTGACCCACCACCACAACCACCGCTACCACCCCCCTCCAAGCTTGTCGTTTCTGATTCTTCCTTGCCGGAGAAAAGAGATGTGTCCTCCAACTCAGGGGAGCTACAACGGGAGCTCTGGCTGCTTCCTATCTTAACGAATCCCGCTCGAACTACAAACCTCATCCCCGGCATTTTGAACGGAGGTGGCGGTGGAGAAGGAGGCATGGGAATCATCGGAGACTGATTGCCGCTATTTATGTTTTCTTCGTAAAAAGTGTTCCCCCTCGTTGGCAGCGGTGGCCTCCGGGTGGCTGTTGGGTAAATTCGTCCTCGTGTAGGTGTTGCTGGTGCAGGGGGAGGCGGAGGCGGAGGCGGAGGCGGAGGTGGGACGTGGATTTTTGGCTTGGAAGATCGTGTTAACGATGACGGCGGTGGTGCCGGAGGTGGCGCCGGGACTGAGTGAACCCTTTTGTTTTTGCTTGCTTTCCTGAATAAGCCATGAAAAACTGACGGTGGCGGAGGAGGAGGTGGAAGCGGCGTTGCCGGAGCGGTCGACTGGTTGTAATATGATGATTCAGATGGCGGAGAGTAAAGAAGATGATCTTGCCTGATTTCAGCACTTTTTGTTTTTAGCTTCTTCTTTCTCTTTCTCTGATTCTGAATAAATGAACTCAACACCATCTTAATCTCCTTCGTTGCATTACTTTTTCTACGTTCAAGTTTACCGTACCTCTGCTCTGATCCACGCCTCACATAAGATGGCGGCGGAGGAGGAGGGGGTGGCCGCGGGGGAGTTGCTGGTGAAGTCTTATTCTCGGTAATACCATTGTTTTCCACTGCCTTCTCCACTCTTTCTTCATTTCTGATTGAGTGATATATTCGTCTGGGTTTTTGACGAACCGCCGGAGGCGGAGGAGGAGGTGGAGGCGGCGGCGTTGTCGGCGGATTTAGAGGGTGACGAAGCACAAAAGTGTCAACTGGAATCACCTTGGTTTTGGTACGTTCATGCTCCAGTTCACTCTGTGTTCTACGAAGTGGAAGTTGACGATGATCGGAGGAGATTGCCGATGATCGGACCTTACTTATTTCAAAATCATCGAAAACCCGGAACCTCTCATCGCCGGTTTCCCACAAGGATTCATGCCTGAGATCCGGGTACGAGCTGCTGTTCCTCTTTATGCTAATTGCCGGCAGGGGAGGAGTATCGTAGATCTTAGGATGATCATACTGATCAAACCATTGGTCTGAAACAGAGACAGGTTTGCTGCAAGCTGCATCCCGGGAAACATTTCCGACGCCGATGTACTTTTGTTCGTCTTCATCGGGGGACGATGCGTCATCGTTTCGTCTAGCAAAAACACCACAAAGAATCGCAAACAAGACCAGAAATATATTGATAGAATCCCAACTTTTCCTAACTGAGGAAGTTGGTTGGAAAATTTGGGAGCTGATAGAGAGAAATGAAGGAAGAAGAAAGATCAAAAGCAGTAATGCGGTAATGGGTAAGATTATGATAAGCAACGGCGGAGTAAGGAAAGAAGACGGCGAGGTATACCGATTCATGGTGGCCGGCGACGATTTTGCGGGTGGGTGTTTGTTTAAAATTTCTTGGCTTTCAGAGAAAGATAAGTATATGTAGGTATATATGTATATAAGGTGAAGGTTGAAGAAAGTTATGAGATGGAAATCAAATTTAAAGGAGTACATAAATATATTTTATAATGGCAAGGAAATGTGGTGTAAATTTTATAAAGTCAAGGAAGGTATCTCCCACATTGCTTATAATGAATTTGAAATTGATTATTAGGAGCGTCAAATTATAAGTGAAGTGTTTGAGGTTATTTCTTTTAAGAAAGGTCAAAAAAAAAAATTATTTTAAAAAGAAAGTTATTTTGAGGATGCATGTGAATTGCAATTTTATAAATATAATTTTTATATTTTAAGTTTAACTTATATAATTTTTTAATAAAAATAACAATAAATCAATTATATTCATGTTCTTAAAATATTTAATAATTAATTTGAAATTTCATGATTGTTGAAAAAGAAAAGGTAAAATATATATATATATGTATATGTAGCAAAAAGTTTAAGCATGAACATCTAACATCATTACATTATTAAATCAAAACTGCATAACCCATATTGACTGTTTGGGTGAAAGTTTAGTCGATTTTTTCATATTCTCAAAATATTAATTTCTCTACTAATAATTTATTTTCCACTCAGGTGGAAATATTACCTCACTTTACCCACTTGATGATGAATCTCAAAGTTCGGATGAATATCTTTTATATATATATATATATATATATATATATATATTAATTATATATTTTCTGTAAATGGTAAAAAGTAGAACCATTTTTTCAGGATATTTCCTCCTGCAACATTCAGAGCCAGAATTTAGATTCAAAATAATGTAATTTAAATTTTTAATAATAATAAAAATAGTTAATTTTAATTATTTTTCAGATATATGAATTTTGAGTATCTTTAAAAATAATTTAAAAAAATGAATCAAACTGACAATAAAAAATGATCTATTTAAAAAAAATTTTAAAAAGAAGGATTAATTCGTTAAAAAAAAAAAAAAAAGACCATGTGGACGCCCAAGTCAGTAGCACAAGGAGTCACCGCACGACACGTGGCGGATACGTTGAAACAGATTCCACATGGGAAGCCACGTTGGCGATCTGTATGCTCGGTTGATCGAACGGTTCAAGGCCCTACGCGCGTGACCGATCGAGGTCAATTCTCCAAATAGGATTGATCGAATTGCCCACGTATTTTCAATCGGACAATCCAGATCCGTTCCTCAAATAAGCGCGATCATACGACTATTTCGCATCATGTGAACCTACATGAACGGTCCAGATTAAAAGATAAGAGGTATTTAAACCTCCTTTCGGCTGGTCCCCAAACCCTAGGCGCTAGGTTGACTAGAGAAGAAGACATGCAGGGGGCGCCGGAGGGAGCTCAGATGTCAGGGAGTGACAGTGTTGCCATGCTGGAAGTCGAACTAATGCCCATAAGCACAATTTTCTTCATTTTCTTCATTCCTGATTCTTTTTTAATATAAAACTCACCGTAGATCCACCCGAGAGCACCGTAAGACGAGGAGGAGAGATGCGCGCTGCGACTAGAAGCCGAACCCGATTTCAATCAGCCGTCCGCCTTCTCTTGCTCCTTTTCCTTCCGTAGGCACTAATAACACGTTGTTTCATCATTTGGCAAATAAATGAGAGAAAAGGAGAGGAGATAAGTGGAAGCCGAGGGCCGGGATCGCCGCGACCGGTGGTTTCAAGGAGTCGTGCCGCTGCCGACTGATTTGGGGTAAGAATACCTAAAACCCTTCCTTCTGTAGCAATTGACCAAAGGTCAACAAAAAAAAGTAATAGTAATAGTAATAATAATAATATATTTTAATTAATAATAGTGATAATACATAAATAATAATAAATAGATTAATTAATGATAATAATACCAATAAATATAATAATATTAGTAAAATAATAACATGGTGAGAATGACGATAAAATAAAGTAATACACATCTATAGGTGTATGTATAAATGTACTTGGTTGAATAAAAAACTTAACCCACATCACGTGTTGCTAAATTTAACCTTGAAGTTGCCGATGGAGCTAAATGCTGATCATTATTCTGATTTATTCTACCGTTTTTCTTAAATAAATTCACACGTATTCCTATATATATTCCCCTTATTTTGATTTATTTTGTTTTATTGCATATAATTTTATATTATTATGATGTTCTAAGCATTCTATTCATCGAAATTAATCTTACCTTATCTGGTCGTATTGTATTTTAAGGCATTCATATTATATTTACTTTAACCTATTTGATGATTACTTCTCCCTCGATGCACACCCAATTACGAGTTACGTGTTCTGGCATTAATATTGTGTTTATGTATACATTGCAATGATTAAAAGGTAAAAGAGATAGTTTGGAATTTGCATGATGCAGAACAGGTTGTTGATGAAAATAGAATCGAGTAGTGAGGTGAATGAATAGTCACCGGTTATCAGGAATGAGAGTATATAACCCCTATCGTGGATATAATCCTCAATTGTACGGGACTGAGAAGTCCCATATCGGACGAGGTTGGGAGATTATGAAAGGCGCCCATACCAGACAGGGTATGGTGATGGCTAATATAAGCGGCACTCATATTAGACGGGATATAGAGTGGTCGGTTCAAGTGGCGCCCATTACCAGATGGGCTGTGGGGACAGCCGATGTGGTGAAAGAAATATAAATCTACGAGTATTAAAAACTCTTATGGTGCCCATAGATACCGAGGATAGAAATAATTCTAGAGGATGGATAAGTGAATGATTAACAAAGTAATAGAATTCCATCATTTTCCTGAACCTATCTAGATATAATGCATGAAAGTATATTAAAGGAAAAATAAATGTGTATTAAATTATTTTCCATAAAAAAAAGGGTGTAACCGCACCAATATGGTTTTTAATACAAGGTAAGTACTCCTTTGGTTATTGTTTCCGCACTAAATTTTTTTTGATATTTTTATTGAGTTAGTGTTGTTCATCCATTCTTATTACCATTTCAGATCAGGACGACCAAAATCCAGATACTGAACAGCAGGAAATTAGTTAAAAGATTATCTCTTCCGCTTTATCTGTTTTCAGTAGAAATTAATTATATTTGTTTCTTTTATGTTTTTTTCGTTAAAGTTTCAAGAGTATTCTCGTATTTCTATTGAGTATTTTAAGTAAAGTATATTTCCGCTAAATTATAAATTTCAGTATTATTTATTTTACTATTTTTGAATTATACGCTCAGAATTTTTAATTAGAGGTTTGAGTTTTTACTTCCTTTGTTTATGTACATATTCGTTGTCAACAACCTTTTGCTTCACAAAAATGTGATATTAGCAAATGTAGTTTGGCAACAATATATGTTTATGTATATGTATACACACACACACACACTAACATAACTTCCAAAGAAACCCATACTAGTTACAAAATTAATTTTTTTAAAAAAATTGTGAATAAGGATGATTCTTATGTTATTTCTTCATTTTTCTTGATGTTAAATTTATATATTTATTAACTAGTGATTCGTATATATATATATATAAATTATAACATAATAAAAAATAAACTATAAATTAAGATAGACAAAAATAAGATTTGATTTAAAATTTTAATTTATAATAAAAAATGACGGTAACAAATATTTAATTAAGTAATTAATTAATTATAATGTTGGATGTTACCATTAATGCAATAAATTGATTGATGGGGTTGGGTTTGAGTAAAAAATTTGGAGCACACATATATTATTATATGTCTAGCATTAAAATACCAAATTATTAAATAATTTTTTTAGAATAACAAATTACATCATTTAGGGGTGTGAAAAAACTCAATCATATTAGACCGGAATATATATATATATACAGATAAAAAAAAAAAAAAGAATTGGCCTTTAAGAAAACTAATGTATATATATATATACACGTTGATATGCATACACACACGAAACTCAAAGACGTAGTTGGAGTTGATTTAACTTGAAGCAGAGAGAGAGAGAGAGAGAGAGAGAGAGAGAGAGAGAGAGAGATTATCAGCTTTGCTGCAATGCAAGTTGAAGAGGAATTATATCAACATTACCAAATTATTAAATTTGTAAAGAATGTTTGATTAAATGAATTATCAAAACTTTATTAAAATAATTGCATTTGCAGTTCTACCCACGAGGCGGCCAGGCCAAGCGACAAACAAAGTTAGTAAGTAAATAAATAAATAATTAAGAGGAGCGTGGCGTCAATGATTGAAATCATTCCCTTTACAACAAACATGAATGGGAATGGCCTTTCAGCTTACACTTTCTCAAACACCAAACCTTTTGTTTTCTTCTCCCTCTTTTCAGCTAATTATCTTTATAGGTTAAATGCAGTTAAAATTGAGTACCCAAAGTGACACTGCAACATCTTTTAGGGTTATATATATAGATATATATATATATATATATATATATATATTCTTTTTTTCTTTTTGGGTTTGTTCGGTCCTAAAATTTATTATAAAAAAATTTTCAATAAAGAATTGTTATATTGACTTATAATTTTAGTCTTAAAATGTTATTTATAACAATTAGATAAAATTGTCAAAGGTACAAGTTGGTCGCTCACTTACCA